CCCCCCCCCCCCCCCCCCCCCCTATTCGCCATCGCGTTGCTCCCCCCCCCCCTGTGAGATGGGTTTTGTCCTGGTTGATCAATCGCTACATTTGGAGAGAAACGATGGCCAGTGTTCGTGTGTCCCAGGGGGGGGGCAAGAAGAATGCAAGGCACAGAATCTGTCTGTAGAGTGGAAAAATGTGTCTGAAAAGTTTATACTGACTACGGTACCCGTCCGTCCTCCCGCCCGAAATGTTGGCGATATCTTCAGCACAGGAGTAGGAGGAGGAGGGTTGTTGCTGTACGTCCCGAAAGGGAACGCGTGGTTGACGGCGGGTCAAATGGCGACAACGGCCGGCCACACGGAGGGACACTCCCCGCCCCGGAGGGATTTCTCTCTCTCCCTCTCTCTCTATATATATATATATATCTCTCTTTCTCTCTCCCGCGCCTGCCGTGTCTCCCGAAACCCTTCTCGAACATTTTTGCACTAATGATGCGATGAAAGCTAATCTTGGCGTCAAGATCGACTTGGGGGTTACCAGAGAAGACGACTGCGTTCCAACGTGCGCCTCCTATTTGTTGTTTCTGTGTCTGCCCGTGTGTATAAACATCACGCCAAAAACAACACCACCACCGCCACTGCCACTACAACTACGACACAACGACAACTAACGCGACAGCGCGAGCTCCTGAGGGACGCCGACCTACGCCTCGCGGCCGGCAAGCGCTACGGCCTCCTGGGACCGAACGGCCGAGGGAAGTCGACCCTCCTCAGGTTCTTGGCGGCGAGAGAGCTACCGGTACCCGCTGCCGTTGACGTGCTGCTGGTGGAGCAAGAGGTTAGCAATATTGATATTCCAAATCGTGTGTGTGTGTGTTTTTTTTTTTTTTTTTTTTGCCTTCCTTCCCGAGGATTGACTGGTTTTCTGTGTTTTTTTTTTGTGCGCCGATGCCCCTCGTCGCCCACAACGCTGCCTGTCTCGTGTGTGTGCGCACGATGATGAAGGGCGGCACTTGGTGGTTGCGTGCTCTACAGAAGTAGGTGGCGTTCGGCGGTGGAGTTGGACGGGTAGCTAACCTTTACCTTTTGATGCTGTTTCATTTTGTCCACGTGGCCTTCAGGGCAGGTTTTTATGTGTCGTTTCTTCTTCAACCGTTTGAAGATATCGTGAAGACATTTGTGCTCTACACACGCAGGCTCAGCAGCCCGGTTTTTTTTTTTCTTGCCTTCGCTCGTCCCCTTAAGCCCTCTACCAGGCACTTACAGCCGGCGTAGATGGTAACTAAGGTGTGTTTTAGTGCCGAACCACGAGCCGTTTTTTTTCATCAAGCACCCACAACGCCGCTTTGCGCACCATCACGAGTACGACCATCACCACATCACCACTAACACCACCACCACCAACAACAACAACAACAACAACAACAACAACAATAGCAAAACAACAGCAACAACAACAACAACAACAACAACAACAACAACAACAACAACAACAACAACAACAACAACAACAACAACAACAACAACAACAACACCGTACTGCATGCCATCTCCATCACCACCAACAGGCGGAGGCGTCGGAGCGTCCGGTGGTGCAGCAGGTCCTGCTGGCCGACGAGAGACGAAGGGAGCTCCTGGAAGAGGAGGCGTCGCTGCTCAAGCAGATGGACGCCGCGGAGGCAAGAGAGGACGACGGAGATATCGGAGATTTCGGAGACGGGGGAAGCGAGAGCGGCGGCGACGCGGAAGGGGAGGGTCAGGGGGGGCACTGGGACGACGACATGTGGGCTGCCAAGAGCAAGAGGTGAGCTGTCCGGATGCTGTGCGTACGCTATGTTCTGCTTCGTGGGTGGTTCCAGCAGGGGGTGTGTTCGTCATGAGAAGATCGCTCTTCTTTTGCATCACGTGATGGACAGTTTTTTTCTCGCTCCTCTGCCTGGCTGCTCGTGCGTATTTGTGTGTGGGGTGTGGCGATTGCCCTTCGCCGTCGTCCTTGACGCGCTTGCTTTCACCTGCAGTTGTCGCTGCTGCTGCTGCTGCTGCTGCTGCTGACGCGTCGATCGAGTCACGCACAACGGTGCTAATCATTCTTCCGGCTGCTCTCTTCTGGGCCATCGACCCACCAAAGCACACCACACTTGCGGCACAACACTCCATGCCTCGTCGCTTTTTCCCTGGAACTTCTCCGTGCACTACTCCGTTGTTTGTTGCTTGAGCTTGTTTGCCGCCGCACCCGCCGCTGCCTAAACACGCCTCGTTATTTTGACAGGCTGGCCCAGGTGGCGTCAGAGCTGGATGCCATCGGGGCGGACGCGGCGGAGGGAACCGTCCGCAAGATCCTGACGGGGTTGGGCTTCACGGACGAGATGCAGGTGCTGCTGCTGCTGCTGCTGCTGCTGCTGCTGTTGCTGCTGTTGTCGCTGCTGCTGTTGTCGCTGCTGTTGTCGCTGCTGTTGTCGCTGCTGTTGTCGCTGCTGTTGCTGCTGCTGCTGCTGCTGCTGCTGCTGCTGCTGCTGCTGCTGCTGCTGCTGCTGCTGCTGTGTGCCTCGAAGCGTTTTGTGTACGAGTATGCTCACGCGTGTTGTGCATGCAGCCGAAAGACCCTTGATGCCGCCCGGCTCTTCAACCTTTTCGTGTGTGTGCCTCGCGCGGTTCTTTTTTTCTGTCGTCAGTTTTTTCTCTCTGTCGGTGTTGTACCGCTTCTCGCCTCGTTTCTTTTTTGATATTTTTTTCCTTTGGTGCCCGATCGCTCCCCGCACAGGAGAGTTTCGTCACGGCACCCGAAAGGCGTATCTCCCCCAACAACAAAAATGCACAACCCTCTACTCCCTTCTCTTGTCGCTGTGTCCATCCGTCGCTGCGACGTAACGCCCGACTCAAAACGCGCGCGCTACAGGACTGACTGGCGTCTTTTCATTGGTCAGCCGGCTACAGCAGTATGTAGCGCGGTCGATGCTATTCTAGAAAAAACAAAACACACACACACACACACACACACTGCCGTTTCTGTCTTTAATCCGGAGAAAAGCTTAGCCTCCCCCATGCCTCCCCCTCACGGGGTGAAACACACACACACACTGCCGTTTCTGTCTTTAATCCGGAGAAAAGCTTAGCCTCCCCCATGCGTCCCCCTCACGGGGTCCCAGTTAATTAATAGTATTTAGAAGTGTTTTGTGTTTTCAACCGCACTGAGACTGACGAATTTTCGTTGGTCAGCCGGTTAGCGCGGTCGATGCTAATAATAAAAAAAAAGCACACACACAACACGCACACCTTCGATGATCGTGGTCCTGTCTGCCGTTTCCTTTCGCAGGACGGCCCCACGACCATCTTGAGCGGGGGGTGGCGCATGCGCGTCTCCCTCGCGAGGGCCCTGTTCGTCGAGCCCAAGCTCCTCCTCCTCGACGAGCCGACGAACCACCTCGACCTGCACGCGGTGCTGTGGCTGGACGACTACCTCGCCAGGAAGTGGAAGACCACCCTGCTCGTCGTGTCGCACGACCAAGACTTTCTCGACAGGTATGATTTTTTTTCGGCGTGAGCCATCGGTGCACGGTTTTTCTCGCGTCATTTCTTCGATATCTCGGTGATTTCTTCGATTTCTCCGGCTGTTTTTTTTTTTTTTTTTGGTGGGTTGAAACCATTTCATCTGCCGTTAGTCTGTTTTGAGAACTGTTGTTGTCGTCGTTCTTAGCTACTGTGAAGGGAAGGTTACACTACGCCCTAACGTTCGGACAAGATGCCCCGACTCGGCTCTGTCAAAAGGGTGCTGATGTTTTTATGTTTTCGATACAATTACTTACTGTTTTATCGGCTCGTTTCATCATTGGTTGCGGTTCAACTGTTTATTACTCGTAGGTTTGTTAATCGTTTGCTAGATGTTCACCTCCTCGTTCATCTCCTCGTCGACTCCATCTCTTCTCTCCCGTGTGGCCGTTCACCGCTGCACCACAATACACACAGCGTGTGCACCGACATCGTCCACCTTCACGAGATGGGTCTGAAGTACTACGGGCACGGCGTCGACCGCTTCCGAGAGATGCTTGGGCAGGCAAGCGTCCCCCCTCCCCCCCTTCCCCCCCTTGTGTCGTTGTTGCTTTTTTTTTCATGACAATATTTGCTGAGTCACGGTGGTTTCGTCTCGTTTCCGAGAGACGCAGGGGCAAGCAAGCGTTTACTAGGGCCACTTTTTCCCCCTTCCCTGGCGCTTGCGTGTCCGGAACAGAACAGTATTGCCGAGGTCTTGCCCTTGCTTTTCCGGAACAGTATTTTGCTAGTGTCGGTTGGTACTGTTGTGTGTCTCCCGGCGGTGCCATGATCGGATCCGAGCTTTTTCTTGCACGGAGGCGTGCTTGCTCGTACGCGTTTCCGAGCGGTCGGAAGGGGGGCCCCGCCAAAAATGCCGTCGGCAAGGGTCTCCGCGGAACGCTGTCGGACTGTTGGGGAGCTAGACAGGAATTTCGTTTCCAGCCGGTCTTCGTCGTCGGGTCTTTGTTTCTTACAGTCCCCTCGGTCTTTGTTTCTTACAGTCCCGAATCAGGCTGCCAGCCAATTGACTTGGCTGCTGCTGCTGGTTGCTAGGGGTTCTTTGGACCACACGACGGCACAACGGGCGGACCGAACGCCGCTGTCACCCCCCCCCCCCCCCCCC